TATAGAAAATCTTGTGACAGTGTAAAAGTTAAATCATTTCTTATTTCAGTTTTGTGCGGTACAGTTGAAAAACTTTCAAAATTTTTTATTGTCATTATATGGACAATTATTGACAATTCATTTGAATGATCATTTTTTGTAGTTATTAGGCAGTCTCTTTGTAGAGTCTGCTGTAGATGTCATGAAAAATATCTTCGATTAGGACGTTGCTTTGCTTTCAGCTTCTGCATGACAAATGTCTGTGTATTTTTTCAATTGTCTTTTATGCTGAATTATGTTATCATCTATCATTAAGCATGACTCTAATGAAGTTCACAATTAAGGTGTTCCATACCTCAGAAGTAGCTAAAGAGACAAGGAAAGTCTATAGTTACATTTGATATAAGATTTTATTGGAAACACACGCATACACACACAATTTGCATAATACATACTTATATATAAAAAATTTTTTAATATTTATAATGAAGTAAACTTTAAGCTCTGTAGACGCATTCGGCCGTATGAGCAACTTCATTGAATAAGGCGAAGTCGACTCCGTTCTTGCGGAACGGAGGCGCACTTGTCGTTCGCTGGACCGGAAGTCTGTGGGGTGCGGGAGAAGACGAAGCCGAACTCGGACTTGTAGCCGTTCCAGTCGATGCAGGAATACACGCACGAGTAGCTGTCGTAGTCAGTCTCGATCACTTCATAGGGAGCGGCGAAAACTGTCGATGAAAGAAAAATCGTTAGGTGGAGTTAGCTACACATATTAGTAATATAGCATTGGATTTCGCAAAACATTACCATATCCGCAAGGATAAATATTACACACGTACCGGTAGGGAAATCGATGAGCATGTGGGCAGCTGGGAAGTCCTTTGTGGGGTAGATCTTGCCCTGCAGTCTGAGGTACTCGTTGTTGGGGCTGAATCCAGCTGTGGTCACCTTGAAGCCGTAGTCAGAGTCAGAGTAGTCGTAGTTGGAGTGGATGCAGCGAGTGTATGGCTGATAGGCGTTGTCGATGATCTGGGTCTGATACCAGCGGCCGGAGTACTGTTGTGGAAAAAAGAAACAAGGTTGGAACATGTGCACAATTCATTCAGATTATGATAATATCAAGGCCAACATTAATTATAACATACAGAAGACTACATGTATTTACCCTGCGAAGATCGAACTTGTCTTGGTTGGCCACTTTAGCGCATCTTCCAGGAACAACGAAGTCTGGAATGCCATCAGCAGAGACAAGAGCCACGAGGGCAGCAGCGACGAGTGTGGTAAACATGATTTCTCTGTTGTGCTCCTTGCAAGAATACCTGGCGCTCTTATATCCTGTTTACGGTGGGCGGAGCTTTGGTCATTAACCTCTGTTGTCAGTTTCGATTTATAATGTTATGTTTCTGTTGTACTATTTACATTTCTTCCTTTTACGATTTCACACTGCTTCACAAGAAGGTATTGCTTATAAATTAAATGAATTAACACGTTTCTTTGGCGTCAATTTACACTGCGAGCAAACAATCTGGAAACACCTTGAAACCTCATCGCCGGAGCTGCAACCAGGGTCGGATTATATAAGGCAGCAGCCTCTCTTGTTGTGGCACAAGTTGCATCCACTGATTGTGATCACCATGAATACATCTCTGTTCTTCCTTGCTGTTGTAGCAGCCGTCGCTGCTGACAAGATCCCCGACTTCGTCGTTCCAGGAAGATGTCCTGTTGTGGACGAGAAATCACTCTTCGACGAACAGATTCCCAATCATCCTAAGGTATGTTTAAATTCCTAAATTATGCAGTTATACAACTGGTTATTCATATGTAATATACTAATGCGATATTTACAAATATATTTAGTTCTCAAAAATACAGTGACTGTTTCCTATTTCAGTATGCTGGTGTTTGGTACGAAATTGCCCTCACAAACAACCCATACCAACTCCTCAAGCAGTGCGTCCGCAACGAATATTCCTTTGGTAAGATGGATTTTCATTAAATGAACACTTCTAATGTGATATGTAACCTGTTATTTACTATATTAACCTGTAATAATTACATGTTACCTACTTACAGATGGAAACAAATTCATCGCCAAGTCAACTGGCATCAACGCTGACGGTAACCTCATGAAGCGCAACGGCCAGATTCTCCCCATGCCTCTTGGAGACCCTCACCTCTCCGTCGACTACGAAGGATGTGAGTGTTGAAAAAGGATTTCTGTTTTGTGCATTTATTGAACAAATATCGGAATGTCATTATCAATTCTTTGTCTTGATACTAACTATATCTTCCTTCCCTTTTCTAGCTTGGATCGCTCCCTATGTCATCCTCGACACGGATTACGAGAACTTCTCGTGCATCTACTCCTGCACCGAATACAACTTCGGATACTACTCCGACTTCTCCTTCATCTTCTCCCGCTCGCCAAGCCTTTCTGACCAATACCTGAGACGCTGCGAGGCCGCCTTTAAGGGAGATCGGCGTCGACGTCTCTCGTTTCGAAGACAGTCCAGGGTTCTGA